ATGGTAAACTAGCCACAGAGCAAACTGAGAAAGACCATCCCACAAAGCTTCTGGGTGGGGGTAGTTCCAGTAACCAAGAGGCCCAGTTCAATCTAGGGGAGATGTGCACTTGAATGACAGTGACTTGAAAGAACCTTTGAAATGTTCCCAGAGGAGCAGATTGGCTAAAGGAATCTCATTAGGAATTGTTTTGTCAAATGATACATTAGTAAAGCAAAACTCATCCCGAGTTATCATTTCGTATAAGCCTGGATTTTTCTGGCTTTGCTCAGAGCAGGAGTTGCTCACATCCACTCAGCAGGTATTTATGGAGCATCATGTGTGCAAAGCTCTGTGGCACATCTCAGGATCTGAGAACTGAAAGGAAATGCAGAGATCAGCTACCAGCACCTGCCCCAGTTGCAGCTGAGAGAGCTGAAACCCAGAGAAAGGTTACTGGGGAGGCAGGGCGTCCCAGTCCAAGGCCTGCACCTGACTCTGCACTCCCAGCCCTGCAGAGTTCCCAAGTCAGCAGCTGGACCAAGTTCTGAATTGTAATTCCTGGAGCTATACTTCCCAATTCAATAAGGGGCTGGGCTGAGATGGGTCTGCATCTCTTGTTTGTAGTAGGAGCCTCCAGGAGTTAAATGATTTGGCCTCCCTCCCACACCCTGGCACACAAGCAAGTGCCTTCCAGCAGATCCTAGCTAAGCACATGATCGTCTGCTGACCCCTTGTGGTCACTGTGGGATCTGTCCTGGCCCAGCAGCCAAGGGCTTGGATTGCACCTCCAGAGTGTTCTAGCCTGGTGACCTCACTTCTCAAAGCTCTTTCCCACCACTTACTTTGTGGGGTCCTCCCTACAATTCCTGCTCAGGAGAGCCAGATTCCCATCCCCACTTTACAAATGAGTGGCAGTCCCCTGGAATCTGGTCCCAGATCCACCTCTAATTCCTCATCTGACCTTGGAAAGTCAATTCCCCACGCCTTGCCTCGGTTATCTGTTGGTAAAAATAGGAGAGGTGGCCTGTACAAGGCAGCTCTAAAGTTTTTCCAGCTCCTCAAACTCTCAGTGGGAATGTAACTTGCCCAAGGTCAGAGGCACTCCCATTTAGAAGGTCACCCCACTTCCACCCACACTGATCAAGAAAAGTGAGATGTCACAGCAAACAAGAAAACCAGCTTCTCCACCTTTATGATCATGCGCTGAAGGATCACATGAACATATGGATAGGTGAGTGGATGAATGAATGGATGGGTGGACAGATGGGGTAAACTGAATTCTGGGAGTACTCTTAGCTGCAACTAGAGTAGCCACCTGTCTCTCCCTGCCCCCAGACAAGCTGCCTCTATAATTCCAGCTGCTTTGCCCTTTGGCAGGTTGCTTCACATCTGTCTGCTAGGGTTCCAAAGTCATTGCCCCGCCTGACAGCCTAGAGCTTGTACCTGCCATAAGGGGAATGAGTTCTCATCCAGGACTTCTTCCCCACTGTGTCACTGACCACTGAAGTCAACAGCAGTAGCTGTTGGAGAAAAATCAGGAGCCAGGGCCATGGATGGGAGGCCCACAACATGGGCATCCCTCACAGAGCAGTTTCTGTGGCTAATAATGGCTGAAATTGAGCTAGGTGCTCACAATGAAGCTGAGAATCACCAGGAAAGCTGGTTCAAACCCAGGGACTCTGAGCAAGTTCCTTAGCTTCTCTGTGCCTTGGTTTTCTCACCTGAAAGACTGGCTTGATACCTGACAAGTGTTCTTCTGAGAACTAAATGAAGATATAAAATAAAATACCTTGCATGTAACAGGTGCTCAGTAAATAGAAGTTACATCCTTTTATTCCAGGTCATGGAAAATTCTGCAGATGGAAGAAACAAGGCCCACTGTGCACTCAGCAAATTTTTTAAAGTGGGAAATTTTCCCAAGTACCCAAAAGTACTGACACGTGTTTGGTGATTGGGAGGAGGGAATGAAATGTGTTTTCAACCAGAATTAAAGATATGCTCGAAAACAGTTGATTCCTTCAAAAGAGAGTATCATTCATCTGTCCCCTGCCATCAGCACAGTTCTTCAGACACAAAGGATATTCCACAAAAATTTCCCAAAGGTGAAATTGAGAACAACTTTTCACAGCTAATGGACAGTGGTCAGGTCTCCTGTGTCCTGGTTCTTCCATTTCCTGGGTGAATATCTTCCTTGTCCACATCTTCCTGACCTAGCCAACCCTTCCTAACAGCCTATCTTTCCCAGAATGGGTGACAAGTTTCTTCTCAGCCACCTGGTAGAAGAGAGACCTGGGTTTTAGTCTAGTTTTCTGTTAAATAGCTGACCTCAGGTAACTGACATTACAGTTGAGGCTCCTGCAACATGCTCCAGAGGGCTCCAGGTCCTGGGCCCTCCACTTCCAACTAGAATGATAAAGATAGTGAGTTTCTCAAATGGCTCTTAGGAGACGGTTTTTGGAGGGAGACAGGCTTGAGATGGTCTTTGTCATTTATTAGCTGCCCAACTTTAGGCTGGATTCTTACTCTCTGAGCTTCAATTTCTCATCTATAAGACAGGGCCAATAAAATTACCTACTTTTTTGTTGGGAGGACTCAATAAATCATGTTTGAAAAGCCTTGTGCCTGGCACATGAGTGCTCAATAAACATTAATATGTCAATGGTTTTGATAACTTGAATGGGCTTCCAGATAAGATTTCATTTGAACTGAGTTCTGTGTGTGGGTATGGGCATGTTTCCACTGGAGAATCTCTAACCCCCTCCCTAAGCTTCAAGATTCTATTTCTCAAACAATACCTTCTCATCCAACACCCCTCCATTCTTCCCTCATTGATTTTCCTTCCCTTTAACCTTTTTTTTCTCCCAATAATTAAGCTGCTTCTCTAGAATTTCATCACCTCTTGTTACTTACTTAAATGCAACATCCTCTGTTTTTTAATGCAAAAATGAGAAGAATAAGTCCAGGCAATCAGAGATGAGTTAGGGATTTATAAAGGGACTCATTAGGTTGATGCACCAACCCCCATACCCATTCGCTCCCAGGAGTCCCCCAGTCCTTTGGGCCACAGTATAAAATGCAAAGACACTCAGCTAAGGCCAGCCATCAGGGAAAAAGGGTGCATGAGGCTGGTGGCTAGACCAGGGTAAGGCTCAGAGAGGCTGTATTAGGTGAAATCTAGGAGGTGAAGAGTTCCTGGGGACAGTTTGAAGAAAAGAGGGGTCAGGGCTACTCTGTGGAACCTCCAAAGACTCCAGGATCCCCAAAGCCTTTCTCCTTTCTAGGTACAGTGCCAAGGAAAAAGACTTGTTAAAATGAAACAAATACACCAAAATTCAAGCAGTGGTTGATCTAATAGAAGAGTTTTTTTGTTTTGTTGTTTGTTTATTTGACAAAAGTGGTCATACTGCTTGTATAACAAAATTTAAATATTTAAAAATCAATTATTCTAATCATTTGCGCTCAGCCAAAGAAATGTACAAGAACATAGAAAAAGACCGTTTCGGCTCCTACTCAAAAGTAGCATGTTTTAGTTCTCCAAGGAAGAACATAAAGGGAGGAAATAGAAACATCACAAACATCTGGCTCCCTTCCATTTCCCTCGGCTGCAGGCTCGTTGAGATCTAGCTTAGAGGAAAGCCTGCTGAATGGGCAGGCAGCAATGCTGGAGAGGCGTGATGCGTGAGGATGAGGATGAGTGAGGAGAACTTCCAAAAGCCACCAAGAGGACTGAGGTCCTTAACTAGCAGCTGTGGTGATACAGAATGACTGTTCCACAGCAGTCAGGAAAACTGCTTCTAGTTCTCTGACACTAATTTGCTATGTGATGTTGAGAAGTCAGGTCACCTCTCTGGGCCTCAGTTTCTTCTATAAAATGAGGAGACTTGGTTAACTCAAAAAATATGTACCAGGTTCTTATTCTGTGTGTAGTGCTGATGCCGTAATACAAAAAAAAAAGAATAAGATATTCATTCAAAGAATGCTGAGTGAATACCCTGTTTACTAGGCGTTGTGGTTACAGAGATGAACTAGCAAGCGTCCTGGCCATTAAGACATTCACAACGTGGTCAGGGAGACAGGGAGCAAACAAGAAATGGCCAACCACACGCTTGGTGCAAATGGAGGCGTGGGCACAGGTAGGAGTGGCCTTTTCTACTGTGGCCAGGTGAGAGAAGTGTCACAGAAGAGGCCTGAACTGGATCTTGGAGGATCCTTGGTTTCTGCTCTCAAAGGCTGTACAATCTAATAAGGAGTTGGACAAATACCCGAATAGCTACCACAAAAGGCAGAGTGAAGCCACCACAGGTAATTTAAGTTGAGAGGGGAGCTGAAACCCATGGAGCTTAGGCAGGATAGAGTAAGGGGCGGGCAGGAGGTAGAAGGTCAGAGAAGCTTGACATTGAGATAAGCCTTTAAGGATGAAGAGCGCTTCCTGAGAGCGCTGAGGTCGTGGTGGCGGGCCTGGGGGACTGAAGAGGCATTCTAGACAAGGGGTTTGCGCAAGTAAAGGCACAACGTGGGGGACTGTTGAGGTGTAGTTGGAGTAACAGGCAGGCCAGGGAGTGGGGACTGGCAAGGCTGGAAGCCAACTGGAGCCATCGTGATGAGAGCCACTGGAAATGACTGGCCCTGGGCCAAGTAGGCCACATCTTCATGCCAGTTCTTGGAGGTAAGTTCCTTTGTTACTCTCCCATTCTTTCAGATAAGGAAACAGAGGCTCAGTAAGATTACAAAGCCACACAGCTGATGGGCGGCATACATAGCACTTGCCCCAGAGCTGTCTGAGGCTCCACTCTGATCTCCTTACCACCGGAATGCTAGGCAGTGGCATTACCGAGCGCTTCCCATCTAAGGTACCACTCACTGTCTCAGCATACCTGGCCTGGCATTTCACCTCAGACAAGGTTGATCTTTGCCTTAACCATGTAAGCTGCCTTGATTCAGTCTCCTCCACTCAGGCAGCTATGGGACTATCAGCATCTCCTTCACCAGAACAGAGGGGTGGCACAGGGCAGGGAATATTAGAAGTGCTAGAGTTTTTATGCTCCACTGTCTACTGGTCTTGGTTTATTGTTGTTCTACAATGGTGTCAGCTGGCTAGCTTCTACATCTATTCCTCCCGTTGGTCTAGTGTTGTCATGGGGCAGATTGTCTGCCACGAAGGCGGCGATGGCTAGCTTCTCTTGGTAGGATGGAGTGACCTTGCACTCCAGTGCTATTCAGGTACTGCCGGAGGTTCATGGATTCCCGTTTCCAATTCCCCAGCTTTCTAAGCTGGTCCGTCATGAACTTTTTTTTCAGGTGGTCATACAAGTAGCTCATCTTTTTCTTGGTCTTGTCTGAAGCTTTTGTCTTATAAAAAACAGAGGAGAGGTTAGGGTGAGGAAACTACTTCATAGCAAGAGAGGCGTCTGTACTACTGATAGGGGAGTGAAAATGTGCCAGCTGGACCCAATGTTCCATAAATAATTTGATTCACAGGAAGCCTCGTCTCCCTGGGCATTGAGCTAGATGACCACTATGGTACCCTCTGACAGTCTGCAGCCTAGGAGCCTGATTTTGACCTTAACAACTCTACTCGGAAACTGGTCAGAAAGAGGTGTGGAGACTGTGGGGAAAGGGTGCATCTTATTCCTCACCCCTTCTTTAACTTCTATCACCCTGTTCCTACTACTCGTTTAGTGGTTCCCACGTATCGTCTGTGATATATCACACTTAACTCATTTCTTCTATCATATCGCTTCTGTCCTGTCCCCAACAAGACTTTATGCTCTACGGAGGCACATCCTCTATCTTACTCACTCATTTATTTATTCCAATGAGCCAGCTGTGGAGAGGATACTATGAAAAATCAGCCACAGGTCTTCACAGAAATTACGACATAGGAAGATGGGACACATAACCAAATATTTCTAAGCAAAGCAGAGAGTGATACAGCCCTTAGAAATAGCATAGCGTTCAAAGACGGGAGATAGCAAGAAAAGCTTCATGGAGGGTTGGCATAAAAACTGGGGTTGAGTTTTGAAGAATGGTGAAGTGTTGGGCATGTTGAAATAGAACCAAGTGGGAGGTGATCCTGAGAGTCAACATTTTAACAAACTCTCCTGGGGATTCTAAGCACTGACATTGTCTCAGAATACCCAGCATAATGTAAGCAAAAGAGAGCTCCACAATGCTGCCATCATTATTTGACACAGGGAGTTCGTTTCTAAGTGGATCTTGGGAACTAGAGATGAAGAGAGAGGCTGGGTGGCAGAGAATATGGACACTAAAAGACATACTTCAAATAGATGGTCTCTGAATGGCTGAACATCAGAAACCTTTCAGTTGCTTGATAAAAATATAGACCCCAGAAATTCCAGCTTAGTAGGGTTTAGATGGGGCCCGGGAATCTATATTTTTATCATGTATCTGAGATGATGCTGATACAGCCATTGAGAAATTAAATGGCTGCTTTGTATCACCATTTTCTAGTTCACTCCCATGATAGCAGGCTTTTTGGCCTCTTTAAGCTAGTGATTTCACCTTGAGCTTCACCTTTACTATGGATCAGAGTCTCTCAACCTTGGCACTATGGACACATAGGGCTAGGTAATTCTTTCTGGTGGGGGCTGTCCTATGCATTGTAAGATATTTAGCACCATCTCTGGCCTCTACCCACTAAATGCCAGTAGAACCACCCCACTCTCACTTGTGCTACCAAAATGTCTCCAGACATTGCCAATGTCCCCTGAAGGGCAAAACTGGCCCCAGTTAAGAATCATGGCCACAGATGAAGAGATATTAGCCATCATCCACCCTTCTCAGAGTATGCTCAGGGGATTCCCAAGACACTAGACTTTAGCTGTTCTCATTACGGTCCCGAGAAATGTGACTAGTCAATGCTACTTCTTCCCCTAATATTAGCACTTCTTCGGGGAAGACAAAAGCACTGCCATGCTGCCACTCAGGCTTCAAATCCACTGAAGTTCCTACAAGCTGGGCCCTCAGCAAGCCATTAGATCTACAAACAATGAGAAGACAGTTCCTGTCCTTAAGGGAGAACATCTTGCACCACGGTCAGTCAGGTCTAGGTTTGAAACTGAAATAATGCACTCTGTGACCTTAGCAAAGTTACTCCATTTCACTGAGCCTGTTTCCTGAACTATTAAATGTGGGTAACAATACATAATGAACTTTGAGTACCTAAAATATAGGAGAGCTCAATATGGCTTTAAAAGAACTGGATGGCTGGAGGATGGCACAGCCCTCTGGTATGTATAAAACCAACTCAGGAGAGTTTCCAGGTATAGTATCTCGAAGATACTCACCCTACTTGCCAGAAGTACAACATCCCCCGCCTACTTAGAGGGGGTGGCCCTCAACCTCTCCTGGGCCACTCATAATTGCCCACACAACCTGGCCACAGTGATCAGGACAGGGATAGGCCCATGGCCCAAAATGGGCCAACTAGAGTCCTTCTCCAAGATTTGTCTAACTCGAGCAATAGAAGCACTCTAATTCCTTTCTGGGCTACACGCCAAGGTTTCCTATGACCACACTCCCCAGAAACAGCTAACCTGATAATGATGCCAACATGCAGAAAGCAGAAAAGGAGATGGAGAGAATAAGTGGAACACACGTCCAATGGTACTGGAACCCTGGTTTCTCTCATCTCAAACACTGGCGACGCTGCCCTATCTACCCTTAATTATGTAAACTCATCATTCTCTATTTTGCTTGAACTAGTTCAAATTCAGTTTGTGTCACCTGCAACTGAAAGGATCCTAATAGATCCTATCTTATAAAGGAAAAAAAGAGTCTTGAAAGAAATGTGATTCCCCAAGGTCACACAAAACTGGACTCTTCGGGTCCACCTTGTTTCCCTTATACCTGGAAGTTTAGCAGAGGGAGAAACACCCAGGTCTCTACTCTTCTTCTGATCTCTGTGGTCCTTTAGAGGATCTGGCACTATCTCTTAAGCCTCCCTCACTCTTTTCAATGTCAGAATCCTATGAGTCCATCCGGATTTGGCCCTGGAAGATGGAGGGAAGCTCCACAGAGTAAAGAGCAGACAGCAGCTCAACTCTGGGCTGCCCGCTCTGCTTGAAGAAATGAGTACATTCTTGGAGTCTGTCCTGTGCACTAGTCTCTTCTCAGTGCCTGAAACAGTGCCTGTCCCAACAGGCCCTAAAGATACATTTAATGAATTAATCAATCCGGGTCTGCAGGGTAATGGCACTGTGGTTTCCCTCCCCTTCTTCTGAGGGCTCTTAGCTAAGCAGGTCAAGCCCTACTTGTCCATAAGCAAAAAGTAGAACCTCAAATCTCTTATGAACAATGGGGAATGATCCCTAAAGGAAAAAAAAAAAAAACCTGACTAAAATGTGTTGATGTCACTTCAAGGTCTAGGACCCAAGACTTCTTTTTTATGGGAGATGGTAGGAATCCATTCACGGATTCCCCAAATAGAAAGGTAATGTGCTTTGAGGGGGGAAAAAATGCCATAAGAGCCAAGAGACATGAAATCCTTTCCCTGGCTCCCTCAGTCCAGAAACAGCTGTGACACTCTGGGCAAATGACTAATCCCAAATTTCAGTTGCCTCCTCTGTAAAATGGGATTTGCATTAGAGCATCTTGATGGCTCCCTATCACCTCTAAGATCTGTGATCTTTCCCCAAGGTATTGGGGAGAGTGAAATGAACATGGGTCAAGCCACTAACACCCTCTATCACAAAAACTTGTGAGGACTTTACCTCCATTTCATAGATTCGTTGTGCACTGAGGTTGTCACGAATAATCACCCGAGATAAGTGGCTCTTGGGTAAAAATTTTGTCACCGCTGCTTCGCTGGAATTCATTAAGCTGGGAGGAGCAGGGGAAGGTGGTACAGGTTAAGATGGCTGGGGTCATGGCTAGGACAGGGCCTGATTTCACGGGGTCCTAGAGCAGTGGCTGAGGCTTCCCCAGGTTTCTTGGAAGAGGTACAGCTCTGTCATATTTGTCAAAGGAGCAAGGGAATAGGCCTAGGTTTCTTCTGGTGGAAAACATGTACTAAAGGGGTGTTTCTTGAATGCTGAGAGGAAAAACCATGGTGAGAAGGATGTAGAAAGTCCCAAAGAAGTGTCAACACAGACTTAGAACTGTCTCCTGGTGAAAATGCAGGATACAATGGGAGGTGGGGGTCTTGGAGGAGAGGAGCAAAAGTTGTAGGGTAGGGTTTAGAGGAATGAATTTGAGGGAGGTTGAGGAGGGGGCACCTGCTCCAGAGCCTTTGGTTTAAGGGGGGTCCGCGAGAGGGTGCTCAGAGGAAGCAGTGAAAAAGAGAATAAAGAGTTGGACAGAGGTAAGTTTGGTTAATAGAGAAATTCTAAGGGAAAAGGATTTGGAAAAAGTCAAAGTGAGAGAAGTTTGAGGTGGACAAACATTTGAGGAGACTCTGAAGGCTAGAAGTAGAAGACGGGATGGGGTGGGATGGAGTGAAATGGAACCAGATGAAACTAGAGATTATTTGGTCAAAATGAGGAGTTAGTCAAAAATGGATAATCTCAAGCACTGAGTTTTCAATTTTTGATAATTTGGTTACACCATGAAGTGGTTCTGCAACTATGTACCTTTAAATATTTTTGCCCACTTCAAAATAATTGCTCGTATTTTCATTCTAAAATTTGGAAACTAAATGTACAATTTGGGAAGCACTCGAATAAATTGTGGTTAGGTCACACAATAAAATACTATGCAGTTTTGAATAAAATAGAAATTCATAGTGTATTAGGTGGAGAGAAAAGCCAGTGAACTTTTTGGTGACATTCCTTCCCTCCCCACACTGCCACACACAAAGAGTGTAAGCATGTTGCAGTAGATCTATATGTATGAATATGGTACAATATACACCAAAATGTTAACAGCGATTGTCTCTGCCCATTCATTTTGCTTGTGTCTTTTCTGATTTTTCTGAGTGTATACTGCTTGCATAGGACAAAAAAAAAAAAAAAAAAAGGAAAATTTTTAAAGGATAAAACATTTAGAAAAATTAAAAATTTATTTTCTAAATAATTTTCGGCCAATTTGAAACTATGGTTTTATAGATGTTTTTACATTCACACACTAGTAGAACTAAATAAATGGCCCCAATTTCCCATTTACATTTTTCTGACAGAAAAAGGAATGAAGTGATGAAAAGGGCTGGTTTAGAGATCAAGAAGTTCACATACAAAAGTCTCCTACATACTGTTTAAAAAAAAAAAAAAGACTTACAATATTTAAAGACATAAAACAGTTCACCTACTCAGTGTTGCACCAAATATACCAATACTTCTTGGGAGGGAACAACAACGAAAAGGAGTGACAGGAAATATTCCCTTTCAAGTTAATAAATAATGGTAATTTTGAACCAATTTGCTCTCCAAAGCAAGACTTCTGTGGGAGCCTGGAGGATGTTGTGAGGGTTGTGAAGGAGAAATTTGTCTGTGGGGACTGGGGCTGGGCCAAAGAAATGGAGGCTTTCCCAGTTAATGTAGGAAGGAGACAAAAATATTAATTAAAATGTTAATCAAGCTACATTCAGAGACTGCAATGCGCTGATCAGCCCTGCGGCCAGGCCAGGAGAACACCTTTAGAAAAAAAGGAAGATTTCTGCTGGATTACTAACAACCCGTTCTCCACACCAGTGAAGGGGAAACAGGAACCAAGAGTCATTCCCTCTGGCTAAAACCATGGGGGGAACCTATGGATTAAAGGCTAGAACTGCTAGCAGGTCTTTCACTCTACATAGTCTTACCTTATCACAGCTACATACCCTTCCCTTCCTCACTGTTAAGTCCATATCAAAGGAAATGGGTTGACAAAACCTTTTAAACAATAATTCACAGGACCTAAAGAGTGATATATGAACTGAGTTCCCTAAACACTTGGCTCCGCCTCTACTCACTATTTTTCCAAGCATCTCTCGGTCTCTCACACTCTGTTTCTTAGAGGAGACCACATTCTGTCTGTGGAGTGTTAAACCTTTTCTAATAAGCTTTCCTTTTGACTCTAACTTTGGCGTGTGTGTTGAATTCTTTCTTCACTCTCCATCAAAGGACCTCTTCTCTTGGTACAGGGCTTGGTCTCACCGTCACTTGGGGAAATTCACCCTGTCGTGCATCACAGGGACACCACTGGGGAACGCAGAGGCTGGGAAGAGAGGTATCTGAGAAGAGAGGTATTGGGACTGTGGGAGAACCTGGGTCTCACTAGGCTCTCTAAGAAAGGACCTAGCTGGCTCTGGGATGGCAAAGACTGCGGTCCCAGGGGCCAGCTGAGGGAGCAGGGATCTGATGGGGTACCCAAGCCGCACCTGAAGAGCACTAGCGGCCGCGCCATCCGCGGCCGCAGGAAGCAGATCTGTGGCTGGGTCCCTACAGCTCTGATGTCGGGGCGGCTGCCAAGCCTATCTCGGTGGAAGAAGGCCGAGGCCGGATAAGTACGGAGGCTGGTAGTCGCCTGGGCGGTGGAGTCCGAGGCCGTGGATGAACTTAAGTCCCACGTGACCGAGGGCCTGGGCTGCTGGGTAGTCGCGGTTTCCACGCTGGGGAACGACTGGGCAACAGGAGCCAAACTGCGAGCCATGCTTTTTGTGTGCCAGCAGACGAAGAGTGAGCCCCTGCGCAGGCGCGGTGGGCTGAGCCCGCCTCGTTGCCCTGGAGACGAGTGAGGGGGGCGGGACGTGCATGCAGAACTCGGGAAGCTGCGGTCGAAGTAAGATTGTCCTTCGGCGGCCGCCGTGGTGCAGCGGGCGCGTTGCTGTGGAGACGGGCTGGGCCAATAGAGTGGGCTGCCGCGCGCCGAGACGACCCTACTTTTCGGCCAGGACTGCTGTGGCCCTAGCGATCACGCGGGGCGCGTTACCGGGTAAATTCGGGCGGGGCAGCTCCAGGGCGGGGAGACGACGCCGCGGTTTCTCCGAAGACTCGGCACGGCGGATTCCTCCGCGCTGAGGGGCCATTGCTATGGAAACCAGAGCGCCGGGCCGCTGGGGATTGTGGCTCCTGGGTGGTGACTGGTCTTTTCTCTCCCAGAGACCTTCGTCCGAAGCTTCGGGCGTGGTTGCTTCCTGAACGAACCTGCCCTCCCGCCCGCGGGAGAGAGGTAAGACCATATGGGTCTTGACACCCAGTAGATGAGAAAGACCATTCCAACGCCAACTTCCCAGGAAACCTATCTGGTTCTACCGTGGAAGTGGCGCCTCACTTCTGTCAACCCTTGGACTTTGTTTCTCGTTTATAACCCAGTATTAACAGACGCCTTTCGGTGTTTGCCGACTTTTCCCACGCAAAATGAGGCCATAAAGACTGGCTTTCGGACCTCGCTTTGTGACCCTAGGTAGGTCCCCTCTCTGCCTCACTTTCCTCATGTGTAAAAGGGAGATTTTAATTCCAGATACCAGTTTATTATGTTGCTTTGAAGATCGAACCAGATGAGGGAAGCCAAAGGCTTTGTAGGCTATGAAATGGTAAAATGGAACTGCAAAGTTGCTGTTTCTCCACCTCCCTCCCCCTCACTTTAAAAGTTCTTCCTATCTTTGTGTCATTTATTCAGGCGATCTTTGCAATTTCCTAGCCCTGGGCCTGAAGTAAATCCCTTTAGACTTCACTCCCATAATGACCTGCATTTTAACTTCTCTAGCAGTACCAACAATAGTTATCATTTTTAGAGAGCTCATGCTGTGCCAGGCCGTGTGTTAAACACTTTACCTGGATTACCTCATTTAATTTTCAGAAGATCCTTATAAGATAGGCACTGTTGTCCTGTTTTCTAACTCTTGCGCCTATAGTTGCCTGTTTAATGTTTGTCTCTCCTACTAGATTTTGAGCTCTGTGAGAGGGCCATAGCTGTCTTGTACATTTCAGCGTACCCAGCATCTAATGAAAACGACTTTCCGCCTATCACTACCTTCACCTTCAAGAGCAGTGTCTCTGCAAACTTTTTGTCACTGTAATGTATAGCAGTTTTCCCTGTTGTCCACTGGGCCCTAGTTTTTTTTTTTTTTGGGGGGTGGGGAGCTCAGTCCACTTCTCTCTGGGTTTTTGGATGATGTGGATCCAAAAGATTCCTTAGCATTTAGGCTTCCAACTGCGTTGCAGGAGGGGGGCTTTTTTCCTGCCTTCACATGACCTTTAGAACAAACCAGCCCATATTCCCTTCCTGGGGTGAGCCTGATACATTTGACTCTGAGGTCTTGGCAGGATTTACCTATACAGGCTTTGGCCTTCTTCTCCAGCAGCCTAGGAACCACACTCACCTCCACCCAGCCCTTCCCCCAAATTCTAGAGAAACATGGCAGAGAACGCATTCTTTCCAGAAAACATCTCAAAAGGTAGAATCGTGGTTGTTGGAAACATTCTCTCATTCAACAAATATTTATCAAGTACCTACTTGTGGGGACATGGAGCTTGGCACTAGTAATACAGTAGGAGTGAAGACAGATGCATTGATATCCCAGTAGAGTCACGAACAGATCAAGGCAGAACCACACCTTTAGAAAGTATGGGAAGGAGAGCACACAGGGCTTAGAAAGCCTGGAGCAGGGATTTTATCAAATGTGGGGGAGGGGTGTGATCTCAGTAGATTTCCCTCAGGAAGTGACCCTTGGCTAAGGTCCAAGGCTCACCAGTTCTCTGCTGAATGTAACAGATCAGTTTCCGACAGACCTGTAAGGAAAGGGACTCAGAACAGCAAAGGCAAAGGACTTGGGCCAGAAAGGACCAGATGTCCATACGGAACTGCAAGTGGCTCAGGCTAGCCAAGGCCCTTCAGAACCTAGGGAAGGCTAATAGGAGGCTAGAGAGATGAGCAGAAACCAGTCTGTAAATGGCCTTGTCAAAGAAAGGGGCTCCGTCTCATTTTGACGGTACGTGGCCACTAAAATATATTAAGCCTGGAAACAGAACTTTAGCTCCTCATTTGTCTGTGCCAGATGAAAACTGCCATTTGGTTTGAGAGGTGTGCTTTAAATTCGAATGCTCCTATTTCAGTGAAACACATGAAAATGTGCTATTTGTATAGCTTTGATCAAGACTGGGAGAGTAAGGGGCCTGAGATTTCTTAGTAGGAAGGGGTCTGCCCCTCCCTGGGGTACATGGCACAATCCTGCTACACACAGCATCATGCTGGTATGGCTTATCTGCCTGAGGCCCCTCTGCCTCTCTGCACTCGCCCTTGGAGGCTGCTATGGTGCCCTTTATGCTGGTCTCCAGAAAGTCTTCAGCGACCCTTTTCAGAGGCTGTCCTTAGAGACAAGGTGCAGGAGCATGTTTAACGATGTAGGACTGTAATTTCACATCGGCTTCACGTGGGCACATTTTTGTCTCTTTAAGGAGATGGTTCCTGGAGAGGGGAAGCTAAGACCCATCTCTTTCTTATACCACCAGGGACTCCCAGCATAGTGGGCTGTGGTTTCATGTTACTGGTTCAGTCTCATGATTTGAGCATAAAGTTGGGAGACTGTGAGTTGTTCCCACTTAGAGGCGCTGGAAGGAAGGAGGGGATTCTGAAGAAAAGGGAGAACAGGGCTGTGTGAGCCTACCTGGAGAGTCAGGCCAGGGCTCAGCTATATGACACAAGTCGGCCTGCCCAACTGAAAATGTGGGGCCCTTCAAGTGGGGCCTTCAGTGCCAGGCTCAGGGGGTTGTCCTTTGTCCTGCAGGGCAAAGCACATTAAGTATTCTGAGAAGCATGCTGAAAATGCAGATTCTTGCTCCTCACCCCGAGTGCCTACTCAATAGACTTGAGGAAAAGCCTGGGTATCTGCATTTTTAATAAGTTCCTTGGGTCATTCTACTGTGATGGTCAGAGGGCCACCTTGGGCCATCTGCTTCATTTATCTCCATCCATTTCTTGGAAATTCCCCAGGTTTGGCCTGCTGGCACAACTGGGCTCCTGCCTTCTAAGTATTCCTTCCCTCCTTGCAGTTTTCCATGGACACAGCCTAACAGAAAGATGCAGCTTTTATGCCTCACTGGACACTGACCCACCGGCCTGATGACAGCACCCCCGTGTACCTTCCCGGTTCAGTTCCGGCAGCCCTCGGTCAGCGGCCTGTCTCAGATCACCAGCAGCCTGTATATCAGCAGTGGGGTGGCTGCCAACAACAAGCTCATGCTCTCCAGCAACCAGATCACCACGGTCATCAACGTCTCAGTGGAGGTGGTGAACACCTTATATGAGGACATCCAGTATGTACAGGTACCTGTGGCTGACACCCCCATCTCACGTCTCTGTGACTTCTTTGACCCCATTGCTGATCATATTCACAGTGTGGAGATGAAGCAGGGCCGCACGCTGCTCCACTGCGCAGCTGGCGTGAGCCGCTCAGCTGCCCTCTGCCTTGCCTACCTCATGAAATACCACTCCATGTCCTTGCTGGATGCCCACACATGGACCAAGTCGTGCCGGCCTATCATCCGGCCCAACAACGGCTTTTGGGAACAGCTCATCCACTATGAGTTCCAGCTATTTGGCAAGAACAGTGTGCACATGGTCAACTCCCCTATGGGAGTGATCCCTGACATCTACGAGAAGGAGGTCCATTTAATGATTCCAGTGTGAGCCATGCCACCAGCACCTACACTGGGGTCAGAGGTGCAGATCTGCTGTTGATCCTACACCAACATCTGAAGTTAAACATTTTACTTTTATGATCCAGAAAAAAAAAACCAGGTGATGCTTTTTATAAGAGCCAAGAAAAAAGGAAAGGTGCTGTAGATTTTAACCTTGTAATCCATCTCTTTAAAGATTAAACTCACTAAATGTAAGATGGTGAAGATAAGTTTCTTACCCTGTGAATGACAAGTCATGGCTGCTGGCCAGAGGGGAGAGTAAGTGAGGCAGATAGTGCCCAGGTCAAACAGACCAGTGCCCAAAGTAACTGGTAAGTCCAGAATCTTGTGGCCCTCTCCTAAGCCACTAACCCAAGAATGGGTCTGCCACAATCCTACCTTGTTCTTTCAAACCCAAAACCAGAGCCTTATACATCATGGCACTTCTTCATTTCTCACAGTAAGTGCCAACCCACTGGATAAGTGACCTTCGGTGTGCTCTGGGAGCCCAGGCCACCCCTGCTTCCACCTTCAACCACAGGGGCCCAACTCTGGTTTCTAGATTGGATTTATGCATATTTTTCAGTGAATGCATTCTACTGTATAAATTTATGAAAAACTTTTTTTGAGTGCTATTGTACATGGCAAGGTCTCAAAGTGCCCTTGGCCGCCCCCCACCAACCTTTGATGGAAAGTGACATTAGTTTCCTCCAGGGCACCCTTGGAGAGAAGGCCTGACACAAGGAAGGCCTCAGGGGCTCCTCTCACAGGCCTTGATTCAGAAGGCTGGAGCTGCAGACTGGAACCTAGCTTTGTCACCTCCCCATGTGATCTGGGACCTATTGGAGCCTCAGTTTCCTCATCTGTCCAAGCAAGGATAGCCCTTTTCTCACAGGGTTGTCATTCAAGATTCGATGATTCCTTAGCACGGTTCCTGGCACCTGACAGGTGCTCAGTGTAACCAGCAGCTCTTGTGGATAATGCTCTGGTCCTGCTGGCCTGAGTCAGCACAGTCATCCTTGTAGTGGCATTTCTCCCACCTCTGCACAGCCTTTTACTGTTTACAAAGTGTTCTTCCAAAAAGTCATCCTTTGTGAGAAAAAAAATGGTTTGAGTCCTTTCAGATCCTACCTTAGAGGAGGCCTAGACTTCAGAGCCTTAGCAGAGTTCCCACTGTATTTAATCCATCTGCAACCTGGGGCCCTAAAACCAGGAGCACACTTCCAACTTCTCCCTAAAGGCCTTGTTTAGATCACTGAACATGAGAGCCAGCGTCCTGGTCTGGCTCAACTCCACTGGGGTCCACAGAGGTACATGCCAAAGGGACAAGTGAGTGGGCCCCGCCAATAGGCCCTGAAATCCAGGACTATTCAAACCTCCCAGGGGCCTGAGGATCTGGCTCAAGACCAGCCATTCTATCTAATACAGAGGTTTTCAGATAATATATAAGATAGACAAAAGCACAACTGCTCTGTGGGTCTAGAACTCGGTGCCAGCCAAATGCTCTTTATCTCCAAACCTACCCACCCCCAACTTCCACAGCAAGCATGCCCAGGCGTGAAAATCGAGGATGGTGGGGAGAAGGAAAATTACGTTTCTAGACTGATCTCATTTTACAGTATAAACAGACCCACACACACCAGGACTGGCATGGCAGAATCCTCATAAAGCAGCCTTCCTGGAAGAAACCCAGATGGAAAATTTCTTTTAAAGCATTTTTAAAGAGAAATTTATTTGGATATATTTTATTTCCATTTTTTAAAATTTTAAATTAACATATCATAAAAGTAACTTTTTTATATGTACAGTTCTGTGTATTTAAACACATTTGTCTACTTCCACAGTCAGGACACAGTTCCATCACCCTCCAAATCCCCTTATGCTGCTGCCCCTTTGTATTCAAACCTTCACGCCACCCCAGCCCCTGGCAAACACTGATCTGTTTGTTCTCTGTCCCTATGGATTTGCCTTTTCCGGAATGTCACATATATAGACTCATAAAGGATATAACATCTGGAAGCTGGCTTTTTCCAGTGTAACATCTTTGAGATTCACACATGTTGCTTTTTATAGCTAAGTAGTAGTCCATCGTATGGATATATCAGAATTTGTTTTATATTTACCCGTTGAAGAATATTTGGCCGTCCAGTCTGAGGCAATTTTGAATAAAACTGCTGTAAACATTTATGTATAGGTTTTTATGTGAACTTAGGAGTGGGGATTGATCAGTCACATGGTAAAGAGTATGTTTAACTTTACAAAAAGCTACCAAACTTCCAGAGTGGCTATACTGTTTTTCTGTTCCACTATGAAAGACCCAGTTTCTCTGTATCCTCGACAGTATTTGGTACTGCCAATATTTTTTATTTTAGCCATTCTGATACATGTCTGGTTTTAATTTGTATTTCCTTAATGGTTAATGATGTTGAGCATCTTTTTGTGTGTTTAATTGCCTTCCACATCACCTCTGGTTAAATGCTGTTCAACTCCCATTTTTATTTATTTTATTTATTTATTTTTGTATTACTCTTAAATTTCATTAATGCCTTCAGTTTGTGCATCATTTAAAACAAGGTATGTGCTTTAAAAAGCATTCTTATATGTAAACAGATCAAGGGACAGTTAAGTCATTTATCCCTAAGACAGGCACATCATTTTTATTCAGTTGTGTATACGAAAGGGAAATCTACTTTAAGTCTACTTCTTTAGATTAAATACATTTGGAAATTATTATTCAGGAATGGCAAATGTTTTCCTGGAACAAATGTGTTTTCCAGTAGGAAATGCTGATGCAATTAAAAGGCATTAGTGTTGATAAACAAAATTGGAAAAGCATTTGTGGAATGCATGGTCACCAGGAAAAGCGTTCCAGTGGGCTAAAATCCATGTCCAATTAATGAATTGAAAGGTTTAGATGGAAGAACAGGTAGCATCAGCCAGGTTATATGACATATATATATTCAAGGTACGTGACTAGGCTAAACAAGTGGCTAGATTTTATAGACTGATTTGTTCTTTCATTGGGAAAATAGTCAAATATAATGTAATTTCCATTTACTGGCACTTATTAATAAATAAATGCAGTTAGGTCCAGAGCAATAAATGTCCTTTCAGATACACACTAAAAGTACATACTAGCTAACAGATGTCAGTAGCTGAAGCGAAGCGATCGCACTCCAGTTTTCTTACAGTGCAGTTAAATGAATGCTAAACCGTCTTGCATTGTATCTATACATCGTTTTGCCTACTCTTTTCACAAAAGAATTCTTCAAAAGTAGGCAGATTAAAGAATTTACTAAACTACAAAGGATGCTCAGACTATTATTATTCAACAGCAGCCGGACCCAAACCCCGGAGTTGACCATGTTCTGTTTGGGCATTTCCCAGACAGGAAAAAACTTCCCACACTGCCTCCATTCATAGAGCTAAAATGCTAGCATGTTCTCTGTGGTTCTCTCCTTTTGCTTTGGTGAGCCAGAGGCATCTGCCTCCCCACCCCCTCCACTACGTATTCTATTAACTATAGAATTGCTCTAAAAATCAACTGAAGAAAAAGAAATATGTAAAAAACCATAACCTTCAACAATATTTAAAACATTATCTTCTCAAATCAACTGCAATGGGGAAACAGAAGGTACCAAGCTCTGCGAGATTTACAAATGGTCAAATTTTTCTTCCTGAAAGTGAATACTAGGAAGTCAAAGGTAATTAATTGCGCGTGCTTCTAATGGGTTAGCAAAATATTCTCTCTCTGACCAAGATAAAATGTCTAATACTTTATCTACTTGGGCTCCTAGAAGCAGGCAGCACCAACAATTGAATTAGAATTCCCCAAATAATTCTCCATTCATATTGTTTTCAAGCATCTAAAACTCCTCAATTACAAAACACATAAAGATGAGATGTTAGCAATACGTGTCTCTTGAATACTTTTCTGTGCACGTACAACATTCAGCTATAGTTTTAGCAGACGATTTATACGACATGTTTTCCACTTTGGTGATGGCTTTGTGTAATCACCAACAAAAACGTTTCTCTAAGTGTATAACACTAGTTAAACCAAAGAAATAGACAAAAAGCCTTTTTAAGGCTACTGTTGCAATAAATGGTTCAATTTGAAGTGCACTGGAATAAACTGATTGAGAGGACAAAGATAAATCTGGATGCATAGAATAAGATTAAAAACAGAAGAGGTTTGAAGAGACTGGCAGACACCATCTGTCAGTAATGAAAGGTTTAGATCATTCGGCCTTTTAACTCCTTGTTCTTTTGTATCATTGGTTAATGATAACTTAGTCTTTTTTATTTCTTCACACAGCTTGGCCATGTAAATCCACTACACAGAGGTGATACAGTGATATAGATGAACATGATTGATAGGATGATGATGATGATGATGATGATAGTGAGCTTGAGATTCTTCATGCACATGGTTCAGGCAAGGTTTCTGCTGGTTGTTTTGAAGATGACAGACGAATCCATGAGATTTTTTGTTTTATCTATTAATAATTCCAATCTTTCTCCTCACTGGGCTACCAGATCTATGTTTCTGAGCATGATTCCTTTCAGTTCATCCACTTGAGCTTGAGTCTCCATCAGTTTGTCTAGGCCCTTATTCTGACAATGATGCTTCAGCTGTGCGGCCAAGACACTTGAGAAATTACTACTCATGGCATATGGAAGTGCTGTCTGTGCTCTTGAACCATAAGTGGTCTGGAATCTCTTCTTTATCTCATTCAGAAAATTAAAGGCTCTGGAACATTCAAAATCATTAGCAGTGATACAAAGGTACACGATCCTGTCTTGGCAGATGTAATGAAACAAATAGTTGCTGTGTAAGTACATTAGTTTGTTATTTTCAGAAGGTATCTGAGCCAGAATCTACTCTGTCGCCTCCAGGAAGTTTCCTCCACACCAAGCGTGTTTGGCAAGGATGGTGGTTCCCCTGGCAATGACAGCAAAAAGAATGGCCTTGGCTTCAATCTGTCCAAGCATCCTCCCAGAGTACGCAGGCTCGAGAACTTGGGGCATGGATCACCCTGGTGTTGCCCACCGCCCGCTCCCAGAGAAGGCTGGGACTGGACACCCCCCATTTTTAAATTGGGTTATTTTCTCACTGTTGAGTGTTGAGAATTTGTTACATATTCTTGATACAAGACCTTTGTCAGATACGGTTTTGTAAATATTTTTTCCAATCTGACTTGTCTTTTCATTCTCTTAAAAGTATCTTTTGCAGCCACAGTTTTTAATTTTGATGAAGTGCTGCTTACCAGCTTTTCCTTTTATGGATTGTTTTGGTGTCAGATGTGTCTAAGAACTCTGCCCAACCCCAGATCACAGAGATTTTCTCTAATTTTTTAGAGTTTGAGAGTTTAAATTTTTCACTTATTTCTATGATCCTTTTTTATAAGGGATGAGGTTTAGTTTGAGGTTCATATTTTTTCATATGGGTTTCTAACAGTTTCAACTTTGTTTATTGAAGACTATCCTTTTCCCATTGAGCTGTCTTTGTACCTTTGTGTAGGTCTATTTTTGGACTCTATTGTTTGATATATGTGTCTTTCTCTTCAATATTCCTGATTGTTGTAGCTTTACAGTAAGTCTTAAAAACATAGTGTGAATCTTCCAGTTTTCTTCTTTTTTAAAAAATTATTTTGGTTATCCAGTTTCTTTGCCTTCCCATATAAATTTTTAGAATCAGCTTGTCTGTATCAACAACAAAATCTTGCAATTTCAGTTGAAATTGTGCTAAATCTATTAACCAGTTTTGGGGAGAACTGACATGAATCTTTTGATTCATGAACATAGTATGTCTGCCCATTGATTTAGGTCTTTGATGTCTTTCATCAGTGTTTAGTAGTTTTCAGCATATAGATCTTCTATATTTATACCTAACATTTCATTTGAGGGAGTATATTGTAAAAAAAATTTTTTTAATTTTGTTTTCCAGTTATTCATTTTTAGTATATAGAAATACAATTGTTTTCTGTGTATTGACATTGTATCCTGTAACCTTGCTACATTCATTATTCTGAGAGCATTTTTGTGGATTCCTTGGCAATCTACCTGAGATAATCATGTCCTCTGCAAATAGAAAAAGTTTTATTTCTTCCTTTCTAATCTGAATGCCTTTGATTTCTTTTATTATTATTATTATTATATAGGTTAGGACTCCCAGTATGATAATGAATATGAGTGGTGAGAAATAGACATTCTTGCCATGTTCCTGATCTTAGAGAGAAAGCGTTCAGTCTTTTACCATTAACTATGATGTTAGCTATAGGTTTTTGTATTTGTCCTTTATTAGCGTAAGGGAGAGTTGGATAGTATTCTCTCTTCTATTTTCTGGAAGAGATTCACACATCGGTATTATTTCTTCTTTAAATATTTAGTAGATTTCACCAGCGAAACCATCTGCTCCCAGAGAAGGCTGGGACTGGACACCCCCCATTGGAAACCATCTGGGCTTATAGACTTCTCTTTTAGAAGGATATAACAATGAATTCAATTTCTTTAATAGTTAAAGGACTATTCAAGTTATCTATTTCATCTTGGCTGAGTTTTGACAATTTATGGTTTTAGAGGAATAAGTCCATTTCATCTAAGTTGTCAAATTTATGCATGTAGAGTTGTTTGTAATATTCTCTAATTATTATTTACAGGGCCTATAGTAATACTGCCTTTTCATCATTCATACTGATAATTTGTCTTCTCTATTTCTTTATTAGTCTGGCTAGAGGTTTATCAATTTTTAAATCTTTTCAAAGAACTACCAACCTTGAATTTTTAAATTTTCTCTATTGTTCTTCCCTTTTCTATTTTATTGATTTCTATTCTTTATAAATTCCATAGTTCTGCTCATTTTGGGATTATTTTGTTCTTTTTCTAATTTCATAAGGTGGAAACATTGATTTGAGGCCTGTATCCCACAAATTTTGATGTGCTGCATTTTCATTTTTGTTCATTTCAAAATATTTTCTAATTTCCCTTGAAATGCCCTCTATACCCATGGATTATTTAGAAGTGTGTAGCTTAATTTCTAAGTATTTGGAAATTTTACAACCATCTTTCTGTTGTTGGTTTCTAGTTTAATTCCATCATAGTCAGATAACATATGTTGTATGATTTTGTTTCTTTTAAATTTGTTAATGTTTATGATGTAGGATATGATTTATCTTGGTGAATGCTTCATGTGCATTTGGGGAAAAAAAGATTATTTTGTGTGAAGCGCCCGATAAATGTCAGTGTTGATTGACAGTAGTTTCAATTATTTTATCTTCTCGATTTTCTGTTTACTTGTTCTATTGATTACTGAGTGAGCAGTGTTGAAGAATTCAACTAAAATTGTAGATTTGTCTATATTTCCTTTCATTTCTTTATT